GAGAAGCTCAGAGGCGGAGCCAATTTAGACTTAAGTGGTCTCCTGTGGTTGTGTCATTTCCTTACAATGCTTGTTTGCTTGAAAATTGGATCTGTAAGTTGCATTAGACTGATGCCACCATGGCTTTAGGACATATACTATAAATAGATTGTTGAAGTTATGTTCTGTCAACAAAGCAAGAGACTTGTTTATTCAGTACCATTTAGGCTTAGAAGTTTTATATGCTACAGTTAGTTGTTTCGATAATATGGTTTCCTTCCGTTTTATGGTTATTCCAAAATGATGGAAAAGATGCGCTCTGTGTATTTATGTGTTTGCAATGCTTTATTAACTACAGAGAAGAGTCAAGATCTAATAATGAATAAAGGAGGTGCTCAACTCCTAGCCAAAATGGTGACCAAAACAGATGATCCACAAACTCTAAGAATGGTAGCTGGTGCACTTGCCAATTTATGCGGAAACGGTGAGCATGAGATTATGAATTTTGGTTCTGATGACTTCCAGTATCCGACATTTTAAAACATATCTCTGCAACAATGCATGTGTTCATTGTATATAGCATATGCAAAAGCAAAGATATTTGAAGAAGCTTTGTGTTGGGATGCTAAGTACGTATCTAACTTCTATATATTGATGTGTGTTTGCACAAACAGAAAAGTTTCTTAAGCTGCTGAAAGAAGAGGAAGGCATCAAGGGACTACTCACGATGGCGCAATCCGGAAATATAGATATCATTGCTCAAGTGGCAAGGGGGATGGCAAATTTCGCTAAGTGTGAAACTCGAGAAATTATGCAAGGTTTGTATGTAGTCATAGTTGCTTACAAATATACCTCAAAAATTGCATATCCAACTATCCAAGTCAATCATTATAATACCTTGAGGGATTGCAGGGCGTAGAAAAGGACGTTCTCTTCTTCTGGAAGAGGGTGCTCTTGAATGGTTGACATCAAACTCGCATATTGATTCCGCATCAACACAACGTCACATTGAGCTTGCGCTTTGCCATTTAGCTCAAAATGGTAAGCCATTCTCGGGTTGAGTAAAGCTGATTTCACATGCCTTTCTCTCTAGGGAGCATCCCAAGCTCGTTGGGCATTCTAAACAGCTGTTTTATCAAAAGTTTGTGTGGCTCGGGACATGACTAATGCATGTATCTCCTCTTTCTGATGCAGAGGAAAACGCGAATGATTTCAAAAGAACGGGAAGCGTGACAGAGATTATAAGAATATCAGTGGAGTCTAGTAGAGATGACATCCGCAGCTTAGCAAAGAAGATACTCAAATCAAATCCTTACTTCTCAAGCTGAAAAAGAGGTAAAGCAGAAGACATGTACATAAGATAACTGGTGAGTGGTACAAATTCTTAGCTGAGTTTGTGACAATGTCATTAGATTGACTTTGTGATTGGAATGATATATATATGGATGACAACAATCAAGGAGAGAAGCTGAGATTTTTACGTTACTAAAGAAATTTTTAGGAGATTATGTGTTGTGATAGTTTATTTGATGCTGTATACTGTCCCCATTGCTAATTTTTGTGACAGTTTTCGATACGTTATTGATCATTTGTGTAACGAAACTGTAGTTGATACTCATTTGG